CCCCCCATCTCCATCCACAAGAGAGCGAGAGCCTGGCCGCCTCCTCCCACGCGCTCCTCTCCCCCCACCCCCTCTCCTGCACGGCGAGTTCCGCTCCCCTTCCCCGGACGTCACATGACCCATTTCGAGTATCCCTCCCCCGAGCAGTCCGCTCAGTCGCCTCGCTCGCCGCCCCCCCTTGACCACAGTGAGCACCGGATGGGTCGATCGGGCGGAGCCTGGCCGGATCAGCCTGCCACGGGGGACTACCACGCGCCCATGAAACCCGGCTCCCTGACGCAGATCTCTGCCGGCGGGATTGCCACTCCTTCCTCGACGGCCAGCACGTCGTCCTCCGGCTCGCCGCACGGGCAGCCGCTGTTGTATGGCCACTCGCAGCCGCCGACGGCCCTGGTGTCGCCGGCCCTGACCGCCGGCTCCGGCATCGAGCATGATGCCTTCCACCCCTCGGCGCAGCAGTCGCCCGGCTACCTGCACCAGCATCCGGGCCAGTCGCCGATGATGATGGCCCCGGGGCCGGGCGGTGCCGCCGGGCCCAGCATGGCCACCTCCCCGGTGCAGCACCCCTTCGCCGCGGCTCCCGGCATGGTGTACCACCCGGGTGGCCAGTATCCTCCCCATCATGCGGGCGGTCCGACCGGCGGCATGTACACGGCTGGCGGATCCGCCATCCCGGGCTCCGGCCTGGCCGTCACCTCGCCCCTGGTCATGCCGTATCCCGGGAGTAAGGTCGGCCCGAATACCGGCGGGATGGGCGGCGGCGGCAGCAGCAGCAGCAGCAGCAGCAGCAGCAGCAGCAGCGCCAGCGCCCCCTGGTACAGTGGGCTCATGCGCTTCGCGCCCCGGATGCCCGATCGCTTCGGCCTGCTGGCTGGCTGCACCATTGGCGTCATGGGCTCCTTCCTGCTATATGGCCTGATTCAGGAGCGTCTGATGACGCGCCCCTATGCCCCTGGCGTTTTCTTCCGGGACACTGGTGCGTGTTTTTCGAGGCCTTCCTTTGTTTGTTCCACTCCCCCCCCCCTCCCCCCGCTCAATCCCATCGGTCGCGGCCTGCCCCTGGCGATGTTTCCTCCCCCCTCCCCCTTTTCGAGAGCACCGATGTGTCTTCCTTCACACGTACTGACATGCCCACCGCCTCGATCCGCCCCGCTCTCTTCCCCGTCCGGCATGTGCCGCAGCCTTCCTTGTGCTGTGCAACCGACTGGTGGCCATTGTCATTGCCCTGGTGATGCTGGCTCGGCGCCGGGAGAACTGGCGCCCGATGGCCCCCCTCAGCAGCTTCTTCCTGGTGTCCATCACCAACGTCCTGGCCACGTTCTGCCAGTATGAGGGTGCGCTTGACGTCTGTCCTTGTTGCGAAGGTGCAGGGGGGGGGGGGAAGCACATGCATATATGCATGTCTGACCTGCGGGGGGTTGGGGGCGAGCCGGGGGGAGGGGGAGGGTGCATACATGCTCGGAGTATTATACCCCCCCTCGCGACACCACATCACTCACCACTTGTCCCTTCCCTGTGGAACCGCCTTGCCGCCGTGTTGTC